CCCCAAAACCCCAAAACCCCAAAACCCCAAAACCCCACAATATCATTATCTGCTGAATTAACTCATATTAGAGTTATAAATGCAGTAAGTCTTATTAATCTTAGGCTCTTGAAGTGATACCTACCATTAAAGTCTAGCCATTATTTCTGAACTTAGAGATTTTCCTGAGCTTCGCCTGAATCTGGTCAAGCTTAAATTTCTTAGAGTTCTGCTCCTCTCTGACTGCATTTTGGTACTTTTCTAAACAATTTAGACAGGAATTACCTTTCAATGATTTGAATTTTTCCTGAGTCTCTTTGACCATCGAAAGCAGTTCAGAATATTGAATCCTAGGGATAAACTAGTCAGCTACCTTTGGTCGTTCTCTGCAGATGAGTGGCAGATACTCCTCGTATTAAAGTTGTCAGGCAAGGAGTGATCCTTTTGGTTAAATTTATGCCTCAGACATCTTATTCCTATATGGATTAGTAGGCTAAATACAGCATAAAGGGTCTGTCTCCTCGATTGCAATCTCTTTTGGTTCATCCTTTACTATTGATTAGATTTGAAAAATTTACAGTATTCCTCTAAAATCTCGTTCTTGAGAAGTAGCCTGGAAATTGTGTTAGCGTTGCTTCAGACTTTGTCATCTAAGAAGGGAGTTGAGAAAAAGTATTAGAATGTAAGCTTACGTATTCCAAAAAATTTCTTTTTCAAGATTTCTGATCGAGAACTTAGCTCTTCGGTGACTATTTTTGTATCTATGGGTTATGATTATAGTACGAAATTGTGGCATTGACCTTCTTCTGTGTTCGTTAGAGAGGTTGGAAGGGGAGGAAACGCTCTCCTCACTACTGGAGCCACTGAGACTACCCCCACTGTAGAACAATCTGTCCTTATCAAAGTGTGAGCTTATAGGTGTCTCTTCTAAGCTATCCTCAATTTTTTCTGGACGTAAATTCTTTGCTCTATTAACAGGTGTAAGCTCATCGATTTGGCTAGGGAGGTAGTTTTGGGTAGTTTTTAAATTTTCATCAGTAAGAGCAGCTGAACCCCTTGTCTTCTCTGGAAGCTCTTGTGTCCTCTTCAGGCTCTTGTCATGATCAATCATTTTAAGAAATTTTTTATCACTTCTACTGAATTCAAGCATTGACTTCTTGTTTGACATATTTGATTTCCCAGAAGGTGAATCTAACTCGCTCATTTCTATTTTATCAGGCATCAAATGTGGATAGTTGTCAAGATTCTTATCAAAAGCAGCATATAAGGAGCTGCTTTCTTCTGGAAGTAAATTCTCAGAAGTGTTTAAATTTTTAGGTTCTTCAGCAATAGCTTGAGAGATTTTTGGTAATAGAGGTTCTAAAATAGCAGAAATACCTTACTCCTATTGCTTCTTTTACTCTTTCCAAACTGAGAGATAACTCCAAGGTTGACTGAATGCCTCCTATAAGCTTTTTCTTGATTAAGGATCTGGACTGCATTAATAGCACCTTTGGAGGATCTTCTGGTATCTAGAAATTACTGACAAGCCTACTATTCTCTTGCTGAATGGTTTTTAAGACATTTATCCTGTTTTTAGCTTCCATAACGATGTGGTCTTCTTTGTTCTCGCTTAGCAAAATATCATACATGCTTTTTATTTTCTAAATCTGTGAAAAATGGCCATACTTGGTAGTCAGGAGTCCCTTCAAATTTATGCACACATGAGTTTATTATATCCGAAAGAGCTTCAAATTTATAGCTCCTAAGAACTTTCCGCCTCTTTTCACTTCTTTTTCTGAGTTTTAAGAAAGAATCTGGATATCGCTCGCATATTTGGAGAAAAATCTCTGTTTTGAGTGTTAGAGCTGCTCATCCTACTTCACTGCTGTAGAAGAGGGAATAGCTCAAAGGAAGTCCTATTAAGATATGAGTTTCTCCAAAATATGCGCCTTCGGGAAGTTGGAAATAGTTATATCTTCCTGTTGTGTTTGAGGCATATGCTTCTCCACCAACTATGAAAAATATTCTTTCAGGAATTTCACCATCTTGTAGAAGTTTAGTTTTTTGTCTATCTGGGAAAGACTTTTTATCCCCTTCATATGTGTCATTATATGGTGGGAAGATTCTGAACTCCTCAAACACGAGATGATGACAGATTTCTCTCCTAAATCCATCATCTGTATCTTTAAAGAATCCTTCAAAACGTTCATATATCTCTTCAAATCAGATATTGTCGACTTCGATTTGAAGTCTAGGCTTTAACTGGATATAAAATTCGTTATTTTTAAGGGTAGTATAGTCCATACTCCAGTAATTTGAGAAAAATGAATTTGCTTGGTCATAGTAATGACGTGAAAGAATCTTGTCTTTATTACTTCTTCCCAATTTCATCAGCCATATGTTCTGATTTTCCTCCTCTTGTTCTTGGAATTCACTTATAGAATCGATCTGACCCATCATTTTACTAATGCTATCAATGGTGTACCCAAAGAAGCCAATGCCAAGGACCTGGACGAGCATGTTGAAGAGGTACTCTGTGTTATTGAGGCCTGAAAAATCTCCATAACCCACAGTCGTGAAAGTGGACATAACCCAGTAATTGGCAGCAATATAGAGCGCGAAATTACTTCCAGGATTTTCTAAAATATCATCGCTTTTCTCAATCCAATTTTCCTCAGAGAGCTGACCAATATAGATCCAAATGCATGCAAGTAAGTGCATTGTGAACAAAAGAAAGATCAGGAAGCGGATGGTTTTCTTCACACTGTTTATGAGCTCTCTCCTCCCATGGACCCATTTGACTAGCATCTTTTCAATGAAAGAATTTATTCTTGAAATATATGTCGTTAATTTAAAAATTCTTAACAGTTTAAATGATAGCAAGACTTCATCTAACAGGAAGAAAGGAAAAGTTCCAATGAAATCTAACAGGAAATACTTCTTAAGGTAATTTGAGATTATATAAGCAATCCTATTCTCTAGTGCCACATCAACATAAAAAGTTGTCAAGGAACATAATACCATTTCTGTGACAAAGAGAGGAAGTATCAGCAGGTTGAATACGATGATTGGTCGTGCTACAAATATGCAATAAATGTTAACCAGCAGGTCCATTAATGCCACGAATGACATAAAATAATCAAAGTAAATCTTTCGTGAGTTGGGATTTATAATTATATTCTCAGTCCAAGATGGTCCCTCCTCCTCATCGGATAAGGTCTCGTTCTCATCTCCGTTCTGTACCAAGCCTCTACCAAGTTTGAGCTTATTTGATAAAGAGCTCAGCTAGGAGGTTAGCTTTAATGACCTTCCAGTTATTTCCTAGCTCTCTCACTATCATGTTTAAGCTCTATAATTAACTGCACCGATTGTACCTTCTTGTGGTTTTATCTTCTGACTATTTACAGCAGAAGAGTCTTTTGAGGAGGCCTACCTTCGGCTTCTCAGTTGTGTAGTCGACCTTGGATAAGTCGTATAGCTCACTCCTCTGAAATAATGGAGGATAAACATCACTATAATAATTAGGTGCATTTAATTAACAATAATCATTAATTTTAAAGGTGTGGATTAGGAAATTCCCGACTGGGATCATTTCACAGACTATGGTCTTAACATTTTCAAGAAACTTTTATCAAAATAATTCCAAATTTCCGAACACTTCTGGAATTATAACCTTGCATTCCCAACAGGAAATATAAATTGGGACTATTATCACTCATATCAAGAAAAATGAAATTACTGGACTGAGGCTAAACTTACCTAGTTAATTCACCTAAATTTTGATCTGAGTTTTTCCGATTCACTGTTGATTTCTTAAATGTTTTCTTCTAAATATTACCACATTGGGGTACCTTTGTCAGTCCTTTCTTTGTGCTGAGGGCCATTGAAGAGTAAGGTTTCTTGCCAGGACTTGTACCAATTCTTGAAATTATCATGAAGCCACACTATTAATCAATATTATATATCAAATAAGGGGTTTTGGGGTTTTGGGGTTTTGGGG